CTCTAGTTGTACCGTAGAGAAGGCTAGAATCGCAAGCTCATAGCGCGAGGAGCTGCTTTTAACGCACGAGAGCTTGTGCCGCCGAGATGTGCCCTAGAGCAAGGAGCTCGCGCTAGTAGCCTTCTCTGCGGTACAACATAAGGTGAAACAGAGTATAGAATGCGATGTCGCTAGGTCGGGGTCTTGGAGATCGGTGAGGTTGCTTCACTACATTGGAGCGTGGCCAGTGGCTGGTGGACTCGCCTCGGACAGAGCCAAGGACGTCCCCCTCCAAGTACACCCTTAGCTTTTCTACATCTTCCTCTTCCTTCTTTTCGGTTAGCCTGTAGACAGCTCGCCCTTTCGTTGATTCCTCTTCTATCTCCTTCACAATCGTGACATCATCATAGCCTTAAAATGCAGGCAATTCAAACTTGTTGCTAGACTGTTGGCAGCTGTTAAAACCTTTTTGCTCTACTGACGTCCAGCTCCTGGTTAGCTCATTTGGTAGAACGCTCTATTTGAAATGTAGAGGTCCTTGGCTCGATACCACGATCAGGTGGATTTGTTCATGGGCGCATCTGTCACCTAGATGTGTTTGAGATGTTTCGTTGATCTATATACCCCTTGTTTCCGTTCTCCAGGGATTATTACCATATTGCTTTTGTTATATGAAAACGAGTATATTTGTTACCCCGAAGCGGATGGGGGATGTTACGGCAGCTTGACTGACGCAACATCCTGCTTCAGAAGAGGCAGGTATTCAGTGCAGAGGAGGTAGTACAGGGCGGCGAGCACCCTGATTTTACCTCGTGAACGAAAATGTCCATGCGCCTAGTGTTCAGTTCGAGGTGGCCGCTGAACGATTCGCGGAGGTCGGTCTTCTCCACATAAAACTTTTTCGCAACCCCTTGTGCGCCGCGGATTCTGGTCGCTTCAAAAAGCGCGGTGGAGTTCTCGGTACAGATGCTGATGTTTGCCGTTTTGGTGGTGTTGACCCGCAGGTCTCATGTAACCTAAGTAAAGCATATGCGAATTATCTTAGCAAGATTGACTGCCTTTTAAGCGTTTTTCAAAGGCTTTCTATGTGGCTATTGTAGACGAGATTCAACCACTGCGCCCCAAGCGGTAAAATGTTAGAACTTCACCCTTGGGACATCAAACAACTGTGATGCGGCGCTCGGCCGCCGTGATGCCTTCCAGCTTTAAGCTGGGGCTTGTGTTCTAACAAAACAAGTTGGTGGCCTAGTTGGTTGAACGTCATAAAATATTATGGAGAAAGACAAAGGACGAAGAAGAGCAGGACAGGACAAAAAATCAATAAAGAAATTAGTCGTTGGCTGTTTATACAGCAGGAGGTTAGTCTGTAGAACATGGTGGCATTGTTGTCCACTGTAGATGAGCAATTTAGCCAGTGCAGTACGAACCGCTAGCTTGGGGTCTTTAACGTGCACCACGCTATAGTGATACATGGCCGCACGCCGGTACGTTGCTCATTCAGATCGAAACGGGCAGGGCAGGACAGGACAGGACAAGCGCTACTTTAAACTGAGGTTTTAATGAAAAGATAAAGACAGTAGAGGACGAAAATAAATATATATAAAAGAAAAAATGAAAAAAAAAAGTTTTAAAAGGAAGACTGAGAAAAAATTTAATTAAAAGCTAATAAAAAATGACAAGATAAAAAATATAAACTTGCTTTTATTAAAAAAAAATTCAAACAAAAGGTCGAGAAAAGTAGAAAGTTTAGGATATAAGTAGGTATCGTAGCAAAACCTAAATACCACGTTTCCCCTCCCCGTTTTCAATGATGTAACTTAACGGGAGAAAACACAAAGACAAAAACAAGAAACCTCCGACCAGCTGTTACGTCATTCCCAGATCTTTCGTCCGCCAAAGGCGTGTCGGCCGTGTAGGGAGCGCGTGCAATTGCAAGCTAGACACCAATCGTAACATCTTTTTCTGACCTTTTTTTTTTAAGATAGAAAAAGTGCGCGGTGTGACCAACCAGCAACTGAACACATTTACCTTGTCTTTTCTGGGGTTCCACCTAAATACTCACAAAAAACGCAAAGAATAACGGAAAAAAGTAATGAAAAATGTATATAACTCGATGCCTAAAAACACGAAAAAAAATAATAATTGAGGTGTAATTTATATAAGTCTCGAGAAGAATATGTTGCCAGTAATGTAACAACGTTACATGTTACTCGAAATGAGTAACGTAAGTACTGTCAGAAGGGAAAGCGTGCAGGCGAGCTGGCTAAACGACATAGTTGAAAACCCTTTTCTCAGGGTTTTCAACTATAACGCAAGTACGTTACCCGTTGCAGTTTCGAAAATTTAACGACCACGTTACTACGTTACCGGAAAAAAGTATCGCGTTACCGGTGACGCCGTTACTTGTAACACCTTGCTGCCAACACTGGTTTTCACAACCCAGGTGGGTGGCAGCGGCCGATAGGGTTCTTGAGAGTTGCAAAATGAGCGATGGCCGGAGACCTTTTCTTTTGTATGGACTATATAGTGACATGGCGTTTCTTGAGCACCAAGGGTCACCAGTGAGGAAATAAAGCAATACCAGCTAGAAAAAGAGGCCTGAACCGTTCCTCACCAAGCGTCATCGCTAGTGAATCCACGCAACGGTGCCTATACGGAGTGCAAGTTCGTTTTGCTTCTTCTGCAGGGGTTGTAGTGACGTCAGAAAGACGCCGAGCTCCGATTGGCTCTGATTGAAGGATATAGTGGGTAGACCTCAAAGCAGCTTGCTTCGAGGTCTACCCACTATCCTTCAATCAGAGCCAATCAGAACTCGGTGTTCTGACGTCGCCACAATGGCTGCAAGAGAAGCAGACGAAGTGGCGCTCCGCAGAGGCGGCGTCAGCGTCACCGACAACGCGCCGTGCAGCGTCTCACTATACGTGCGCGACGTTAGAACGCTGCGACGCCAAGACGGACGCGTCTGCCTTTTTGCATTGACTCTCGTCGACTTTCGGCATGCTTGAGGCTTGGGGTAGTTTTTGGAATTCATTAATGATGACATCATAGACAGCCCTTGTTTTCTAGATGATATGAGTCTAATACTTTAGCACAGAGGTTCTAAAATGAGGTCCGGAAACCCTTTGGGGTCCGCGATGGTATCCCAGGGGTCCGCGAAATCCTGTCTCATCAGTCAAGCCCGGAATTATAAGTTGTCTTTTTTTTGCATTGAGAAGAAACGTTGCTATTTTCGGGTGAGTTTCTTTGTGTGTACGTCAATAAGTCTACTTCACACTAGCAATTAGTTATATTATTTTTTAAATCATTGTCATGATTAACCTACACATTTCCCTTCCCCTCACCACGAACGGGGTCCTCCATTATCTCCGCTGTCTACAAGAGGTTCGCAAAACATGAATGGTTGAGAACCATTGACTTATCAAAACCTGCAGAAAAAAAAGTTAGTTATATTCGGCTTTTTCGATTGCATTCATAAACTGCGCTTTGCACAAGGCTTGGAATTTGTGGGAATGGTAGACCAGAGACAGTGGTAGCAGAGTGCAAACGAGTAGAACACGTTATATTGGTTGGATAAAAAGAAAAAAAGAAAAAGAAACCTAATGTGTTAATAAGCTGACGTTTTTGTGGGCCTATAGTATAGTCGCCAAAACAAGAAAAGACATTGCAAGTGCTAGTGGCGTCTATTTGAGTGAGAAGAAAAAAAATGTTTAAGAAAAACAATTTTGTGGTTTTTCGTACTGAAAAGATTTTTTTTTTTTTCATTGAACGATATGCCGCTTTTTAGTGGGCAAGTAGTAAGTCTCAGTGGACGTGGGCTGATCGAAAACTAATTTAGTTTTACCTATTCACTGATGTAAATTTTGTCCTCAGCACGTATTAGTTGGCCACCACGTCTTGTTTCACGTTCAGGATCAATTCCAGCTTACTGCAGCGCGCAGCACATTTATGCAAACTTCAGAAACGGTTTTTATTTTTTTTTTCAGTTCGTGAGCGTACAGTGTCCCACAACATCGAAGAAGTCATTTTGTTCGCCCATAATGTGCGAAGACACGAAAGCGATATGTGTAGCACGGTCGCGCAATGCGGGTGGAACGGTGCCGTCCCGTACCTGAGGATGGAGGTGCAACATGGATAATTCTCGTGGCCGTCGTGGTTTGCGCCGTGGATGTCACTGACGACTACCGTCAGTGATCCATGAAGTAAGTAGGCAAGGGCGGTGTAAGTTTCTAAGACCACCCAACATTACGCGTAGCAGCTGGATACCGACAAAGTGGGATTTCGCAAAACGCGAGCCATGTTTGAAAACAAGTCTTTCAGGCAGACGACACGATGATTCAACGTTCATCGCGGAAATCTTGGCCTGACGCCAGGTCTACTCTCTTTGCTTGTCTTCGCTTTATTTCGCGAGGTACGCGGACTTTCCTCGACTTTACTCTCGTCGCGGCAAAAAGGGAGAGAAGATTTTTTTTTCTTTAATTTTCGCTCGCACGGCGACGACAAGCGACGAGGACGAAATCTCTGTAAAGCGTCGCTCATAGGAACCGTGCGGATGTAACTCAAGCCCCGACCAGGGCGCCCCTAGCGGCAAACAGATTCGCTTTCCTCGGGCAGCTTCTCCATCCCGGCGCGTTGGGATTGTGTGGAAAACGTTATTGCGGTCTAGAAATCGCAACTTGCGAGATGCCGGTTCCCACCCTGAAGAGTAGAAATAATTGCTGTGTGGTTGGATGCAACAGCACCTACACAAATTTGCCCGATACGAAGTTTTACGGGTTTCCCGCGAAGTCCTACGAGACAGAACGCCGCGCGGTTTGGGTGCGACTGGTCCGTCGATGCAAGTGAGTCGCGTTTCTCTTTACACTTTTCAGTTAACGTCGCGCTTTGTAGTGTGTGAAACTATTTCATCTAATGTCCTTTTTCTAGCGCCGATGGAACGACTTGGACCCCTACCCCGAATTCCAAAATTTGTAGCAAGCATTTTTTGAGGAATGAAAAGCGAAATGAGAAAGCCCACCCGAGCTACAACCCTTCGATCTTTCCATCGCCGTACAAGAAGAGAGTGGTACTCGGGGTTGCTGAACGACACGACAGGTGACTTTCCCATTTTCTGTGCTTCTGTAGTTTTTATTTATTGTTAGTCTGTCAGTCAGGAATTTATTTAAAGCTCGCTGTTGCAAGGTTTCGTCGCGCGTGCACCACGGGTGCGTGTGAAGCTACCCGAGCCCCGGGCGGCTCATTGCGGAACAACGGAGCGTTCAAGTGGCCGTTTGTCGGCACTCCACTCGCGCTTTCAAGTGTTGTCCGAAAGTGTTCTGCACGATTCATGCTTATTGCATATCTTTCGTCAGCCACTTGCCGACGATTTGTTTTAACAGAAAGCGCGAGCGAGACAAGCACTACAGGAGTGAGCAGCATGCTTTCTTATGATGTCTGCGAAATACAGGTGCGCGATCTTCTCACGTTTGTGGACGTGGCACTCGCTCGAATGTTGCGGTTTTGATTTAAATCTCACGTCCTCCGGTTGCAGCAACAGCCTCTACGAAATACAAGAACATACAAGTTTTCTAAGGCACACATATATTGAACCTAAATATGTACTAGCTAAGCACGCTTACCATTACGCTGTTAAAACGAGTCAGAGATGCCAGTTTTTGGTTTTCAGATATTCTTTGTTATAAAGATAAAGTTTTACGGAGTCCGAGTGTACACATAATTAGCCAAGTTAAATAAAAAGAAGTACAGCGAAAGTAGGCATGCTAATAAGGCCACAAAGTGCCAAAAGCAAGCCATTCTTCACTAAAGGATGGCATTTGCACGCTAAGACGGCACTAGAACGCGGGCATAAACCACCTTCGGACGGCACTCTAGACACTGTGTAGAGAAAGAGCTAATCCGAGCTGTCGATGAAACGATCTGTCGGTAAAAAGATTTGTCTACGATACATTGCACATCGACAAAACATTCGACAAACTGATTGCCACTGATTAACAGAATAGTATGGCTACTGACAAATTTTCTCTCTTCAGGCAACTGAAAAGGGTCGAACAACAAAGGCGTGTAACACCGTGTACAGCTGCACCTGAAGTTGATTTACCCATGGAGCGGCAACCAGCAGAGGAGCCAGCACCTGCTCCATTAACAGCCAGTGTAAGCAGAACTTTAAAAGAACTGAATAGACATATGAATACCATTTCTCACACTCTCTATGTTCAGAGGTGGCTGTGTATATGTGGACAGAAGGGTGGCCCTGTTTGGCGACTTGCCATAACCTTTGGAAACACTCCTGGCAAGTACAAGACTGCCAAATGAAGTTCCCGTGTTTCTTTTTAACCCTCGGGCATCATATTCGTAGCTGTCTCTATGAAATGAATTTAAAACTTACAAGTAAATAGGGACAATAACCTCTTGGAAATTTGTAAGGCTAGGAATACTGTGAAATAGGCACTGGAGGACACTAACGAACACTTCAACAAACTCCATTTCTTTACATAATGTTCTGTCTAGGCTCCTTGTTGTTCCACGTCCGTTCTTGTTTGTCTCATATAAATATGTAACCAGACATACTATTGTTGGTTGGCAGGTGAAACCTCCAAAGTTTCCTTTTCTCAGAATGTATGTTCACATAGAAGCCAATAAATCCTGAACTCTGATGTGAATCTGAATGTTTGCACCCTAGAAATAATACGGGCTTTTGGGTTTTACGGCTCAGTGTATTAGTGTTGCATTCCTTCCTATCTTTGCAGGCTTCCACCATGACAGAAGATGATGGAGCAAGCTTCTCACCATGCACCCTGTTTCTTTGCTGTAACATGGGGAGAGATGTCTCAACCCTTGTCTGCCATAAGGCAGTAGTGGACGAAAGGTGTGGGCCAGACACGGTGTCAGTTTGTGATAGGGGAGCTGGGCCAGCGTACAAAGAGCCCTTCTTTACTGGGTACAAGTCTGTGTGTGACGACGAGGCAATGTTAACAAGGTTAAGTTCCGCATCATTTTCTTTATTTGCTCTGTTGTTGAGCTTATTTCCAGATACCTCGAGGAGGCAAAATGAACTGTCAAGCGAGAATCGGCTCTTACTATTTTTGATTAAGTTAAAACATAATGTACCTTTTTCGTGCCTAGGCATTTTGTTCAGCATCCATCGTACGACGGCAGCACGAATATTCAGGGTTACACTTGCAATCCTCTGCGCCAGAACAAGAGACTGGATTTGGTGGCCGAGAAGAGGTGCTGTCCAGGCCACCATGCCACCAAGCTTCAAAGTTCATTATCCTCTTTGCAGGGTAATAATAGATTGCACAGAGATGAGGGTGGAGATGCCTCCGTCAGTCGAGAAGCAAAACCTTTGGTATTCGCAGTACAAAGGGTGCTATACTGTTAAGTACTTAATTGGAGTCGCACCTAGTGGTCTTGTGACGTTCCTTTCAGATGGATTTGGTGGGCGGACAACTGATACTAGTATCACAATTGAGTCTGGTTTTTTGCACAAACTGCAGCCCGATGATGTCGTCCTGGCCGACAAAGGGTTTCCAGGCATAGTAACTGGCGTTGGTGTTAAGAAAGCAACACTGGTAATGCCACCATTTGCATCAGGAGTGCAGTTCACAGAGGTTGAGGTAGACTCAACATACGAGACAGCTTCTGTCAGGATTCATGTCGAGAGGGTAATTCAAAGAGTGAAAATTTATACAATAACCCAGCGTGTTTCGCATCATTTAATCCCATACCTGGACAACATTATGCCTATCTTGTGTGTACTCACCAATCTGAGGCCGGGTATATTTAGGCCTCGGTAAAGTGCAGATCGTTCGTAGCTTTTGGAGGTAGTCTAGCAGTGTGTAGTGTCCATTTGGTTGCGGCTTGAGAAGTGCTACTCGATGCTTTGAGCTGCTTGTCAGTTTAGGGAAGGAATCGAAGAGCAATTCCGCTTTATCTTTGGTGCAACTTGTGGGTTTCAGTGCGCTCAGGGTGGCACAACCAAGAACTAGCATGTGTCCCACGTAGCATGCATGTCCTGTAGAATGACTGGTATGTCGCACATGCTTTTCAATCGCTTTACCGCAAAGCATCGAATAGAAACTCGGAGGCAGTACATCTACACAACTGCGCACAGTATTGAGAAGAACAATAATTTACTTCGGGATTCAGCGACGTCGAGTGTACTGAGAACAGTCAAACTCAAATTAACTAGATTTGCCCTTTGATATACTCAGTCAGTTCATTGCATTTCAGTTTGACTGTGAAATTGCCTTCATCCCCTCGGAATGATAAGCAACTGTTCAAAACATGCATGGCACCCCCACCCCTTTGTCCCCTCGCCTGAAATGCCTTGCTGCAATGCATATAGCCATACTAGTTCTTTTCCATATTTTACTGCTTCTGTTGACTCTGAATTTTCATTCTGTGTTTGTGCAACTGTTCATGCACCTAAAAAAAAGAGATTCTTGTTTTTCCTTATAGTCAGGATTTATTGAAGTTGCTCAATTGTTATGTGCCTGGTTTCAAGCAGAAAGACATTCTTTCTTGGCTCCTTTTGAACGGAGCGCAACCAGTTCTCCTAAGTAGTACTTGAAATAAAATGACCGAAGCTTCGGAATGGCTTCAGAGAGGAATTCCTCGTCACGCTTGATGTTGAGCGTCTTGTGGTCTACAGAGCAGTACAAATATAGATCACACTCTTCAAGCTGCAAAACATACAAGCAGATTTGTATTTGCGTGTAGTATGTGTGTGACTTTCTCAAAGAAATCTCCTTGCTGCACTTGTCCTCTACTAGGTATGACAGGAGTGGCTTTTCCGTTAACTTCTTCTTCCATCGGCTGGAGGGGCACTTGATCTCAAGCAGGGTGGTTTTGCCGTCCTCGCTCCTGAGTATAGAGAAATAATGATTAGCTGGCAGTGTTTGATATGCATTTCAACACGACTTGAACAAAATATAACCGCTGAAGGAATGTCCGTCTTGCATGTGTATGTGAAAGACGTGCATTAACGCTTTGAGAAAATGTATGATGCTGAACTGAAGCCTTGTGGTAAAATATATGATAATGCACGCCACAAGGAGCCATATACCGGCAAAGGTAGTGCATATACCTGCACGCATGTACTAATAATTTATTCAAACGAAGCAAAAGGGCCGGACTGTTTCAACAAGGCGAGAAAAGTTAGTATAAAATGTCAAAAGAGAGCTTTGGGAGCTCTGAAATGGTAGTCATTAATTTATTAAAAGTGCACTAATATGGTTTTCAAGACCGCATTTCGATGGTGATAACTCGATCTTTGTGCTCCAAGCATCCTAGAAATTAAATAATCGCAATCAAACACCCTTCCTTTTTGCAAAATTTTCCATAAAGAAAAAGGGTAGATAAGAAAGGCCGGCCGGCAGGGAGTGCGCGACAGCTAATCGCAAGCTGTGGGCTACCGAGTGACCTTGCGCTCTTCCGTTAATTTGAGCTCAAAGTTCGGTTTTTAATAATGCTTGGAGTGCGCAAGTTGAGTTAGCACCATAAATAGACGTCCCTAGAAACTTTTAAGATTCATAACTTCTTTAGGCTCATGACCAGCTAACTCTGCTGAAATGGTGGCTGTCATTTCGAGGCTTTAGTGGAGGTTTGAGCTATAGTACCGAAAGATTCCATCAGGAGAACATCCCAACCGGGGGTCTTCTGGTGCCACCACAAACCCGAACTGGTGAACTTTGAGGCCACGGTCCTCTTCAAACTTGCTTCGGGCTTTCGGCTCGTTGCGCTGCCCATGAGCCGTTGCTGGCGACCAGAATGGAGCTTCAGACACCATGGTCCTGGCGACATCTCGAAGGTCTCCTTCACAGCGTATCACTTTGTGGCCCTGAAAAATAAAAGACTTGGAACATTTACACTGAAACAAACGGTTGACACCAGAGCTTAAAGGGGCACTGCAATCATATTTAAGCGTCTACCTTTTTTGCGGTTTTCACATCTTTTGGGGTTCGGGCAAGTCAGCGGGCACGGAGAGAGTAACTAAATATCGGTGCGTCATAATTTAACCAGACGATGCGGAAACCTCGTCCCACCTACGGGGCCAACCTGCGGTGCCGAAAGCGCATGATATGTGAAGTCTTTGGTCTTGGCCTTGCTACTGGTCAGAGCCACTAAAAGCTTCTTTTTAGTCGAAATACAAAATAAAAGTGGCACGAACCGTTTCAGTTATTTATAAAAGTTTTTGTTCAGTATTTTAGATCAGAAAAGAAACAAATGCAGTTTATAAAGTGCGGAAACAAGAAATGAACCGTCGACATACCCACCACCAAGCGGCGGAAAAGGCGGCGCATACTAGAAAGGGGTAACACTAGGATAAGGCGCCAACGCGCGGCGAGTGTAGAAATATCCCGGATGTACGCGGCAGCGCTGCGTTCGTATATGGGCTCGAGGAGTTAACCGGTTTTGAGCGTTCCGAAGGCCTTCGGCGAGCAGGTATGGCTTGCGGTTGAGCCGTTTGGTGGTATGGCAGCGCGAAGTGGCTCCCGTTCTAAACTGATCTTTACCCCGTGTTTGCTGTCGTTTGGAGCCAATGAAGTGTCATGCCGAATTAGTGTTTAGTCGCGCAGCAAATGCAATGCAAGCCACCCTGGCCGCCCGCTTCATACAGCATGTCCAGAACACGCTTTAGTGGCACCCTCTTGAGCCGTCAACACGGAGTGCGGCAGCATTGAATGCTCACTGAGCTCACTACTCCTGTGGTTCACGGCCACTCAAGTGACCAACGACGTCACGAAGGAGGTTATTTTTTGCTTGTTTTTGTAATTTTAATTTGCCTATAACTTCTAATATGAAACGAAATACGAGAAAAGAAAAGTTTCATTAAGTTACTACGTTCAGTGTGCTCAGGTTCGGCGCGAATTAAAAACCAGTAAAAGAGTCCTTGCAGGGTCCTTAAAGAGACATTAACATATTTCTATTGTGCTTTTGCCCCTTGTTGACATAAACAGATGTAATACCTAGACTTATTGCACCAGCTGTCATGAGCATCCTTGGTTCACTATGTAGGAAAGATTGACAAGTTGCTAAAAAAAAGTATGCATGCCTTTGTTGCCGTGATGCTGAGCAGTCGCTCTTTCTGCCAGGTGTCTCTCGATAAGCTGGTTTCTCTGCAGATCTCGTGGATTCGCAACAACGAAGCGGAGACGCTGCTATCGTAAGCGGTCCTCTCACGATCTGTCATGTTGTAAGAAAATAGTATGTACAAAGTAGGCGATCAACAGTGTCAATCGTGCATCCCAGCTTACCTGTCGAGAAACACTTCTTCTTTCTGAACAGGTTTTCCAGAATCGAATGACATGACTAAGCTTCGATACCGAAACCCCTCCAAAGGCCAGTCGTACAATTGGAGAACATCTGGTGAAAATGGCAGTCCAATAGGGTCATCGTCGTCCGGACACTCCATTTCAGCCCGCAACATGTCGTTGTGGGGACAGTTCAAAACCGGGAAGAACTTTCCCACGTGGTGGACGTCAATTGCACGCACGGAAACTGACGCGCCTGCAACAGGGTATTTAAGCAAAATTAAAAGGCTTATCTGTATTTGAATATCAGCGTCGCGAAAAAAGTAAATGCTCGCACAAGTACACCTCAAATTGAATTCATGCAGAGCGGTACCACGACGTACCTTTCCGGGAGTTCGGGGCTAATCTAGAAAACTTCGGGTACGTCTTCTTGGACGAAGGGATGCCCCAGCTTCTTGCGTGACTCGTCTTCGATGTTGCGGCATCCTCCGCCAAGTACACAGGCACGGCGGTGGCATGTTTACATTTGCCAGCGACGCCGGCTTGGCAGTCGCATTTTGCGG